CAGTGAGAATGCAATAGAGTCATGCCACTTGCCCAGGACCTTCTCGCTACAGCAAGAATCCTCTTGCTCCAGCAAGAATGTCCTTGCAATAACACTAACCTATGTTTCCAATCAATTCCACTTCACATTCACATTTCAACTGTAATATACACATCTATATGTATTTATATACATATCCACATCACCACACAAGTCAAACACACATTCAAGTAGCAATCCATATATTTATATTAATAATCAAAATATCATTACAAAGTTTGAGGCGTTACAGATTAGTTCTCCCATTTTTGTTTGTTTTCTCTATTTCTTACTTCTCAAAATGATCTCTTTTGTGATACCTAGGAAAAGTTTGATTCTTTCACCAAAATCCTTCAAAAATCTTCTTTCAAAACTTCATTTCGAGGTAATGAGAGCTTTATTTTGTCATTTTAAGCATAGTGAATATTTTGTACTCATGAGAGTACTTTTGTATGTTTTCTTGTATGTAAATATATGATTAAGTGATATGTATGTATTGTGAAAAGTTATAATGATGTATATTTGGTTGATTTGGGATAATTTTGTTGTATGCTTATTGTGTATGATAAGGACTTAGATTAGAAATGTTGTTAGCAAATATGATCTTTATGATTGAATGATATTGGATTGTGGTGAAAGGTTAATGAAGTATGTTTGGCTGATCTTGAGTGTTAGTACCATATTTTGGTAGTATATGTGTTTCGGACTTAGTCTGGAAGTGCTTTACCAAGCACGAGCTTTTACTTAAGTAATGAGTTTGACACAAAAAAGAGTGTGGGATGAGTATAAAGTGTTGAATGGATCTAGTGTAAATAGTTACAGAGATATACTAGGGGTATAAAGTCCAGAGGTAATGGAAAATCTGGGAGAAACGTAGGGTGGTAAGCAACATTCGCGTATGTGTACACACTCTTTCTGATAGCAAATACATCACATAGTCTCACACTCATTTCCTAACTAGACTCTTGACTATACCTTTACTAAGGGGCCCATTATTGTATATGTTGCATCTGTGTGCATGGGCTAACTGGCGACTATTTACCTATTTGAATAAGACCTCAAGAAGTGTTGGAGACATCGTACTTCTATGATCACAGTGCGCTGGAAGTACGTATTTGAAAGAAAGAAATTAAACGATTTAGGATGAATTCATGTGTTGTGGTTATGTGATGATTGTGTTTATGTTGTTTGGTGACTGAAATTACTATATTTTCTTTTATTTCATAATTATTATTATACTGTGATATTGGTTTCTGAATTGAAATTATGTTTAATGATAAGATAGACACTCATCCTTACTAAACATTTTAAGAAACAAGGATGACGACACCCTGAGAGCAAATTAGATTAATAGATAGTTCTGTACAGTGTATGTTAAATTATGTATTTAACGAGTATCAGAGGTTTTGTTATTTTAAATTTGTTATAAATTGTGATAATGTACCTAGTCATATGTATACTCTGGAGATGGACCTATATTATATATTCTCCTAGACTTTCCTTAAAACAATAGGATCCATCATACTCTTTGTATATATATTTATAGAGGAACTATTAGAAATCCCGTTGCAGTTACTTATTCTAATCATGATCATCTCAGAAGGCTGACCTAAGTGACTTTTGAGCGAGTCACGGGCATTGAGGTCGCAACTGATTCTGGTGATCTCTATCTTGGAGATGATAAGGATATAGGTTTTGATGATCTATCAGAGATCAAGGGATGACATGGTGATGACTACTACTAGGTCTTCACAATATGGACTATGGCGGCTATGGGACTTAATTATTTTGATTATATAATGATTATTCTAAGTTCTACACCTTTTGATTAATAGTTTGTAAATTATTACACTCATTATACGTAAGTGAAAGTTTAGCATCTATATTTTTTTAATTATTTTGGCATACTATAATTATTAAGTTATAATTTATTTTGGTTTTCATATTATATTGACAATAAAATTTTGAAAATGGCTTTATTTGTGGAAAGATTTTAATTTACTTGTACATTCTTTTCATACTAACCGTTGTATACGAAATTTATATTATTTATCTCGATTCTATATAAATAAATGTTGTAATTTGAGAATTAAAATTTAGGATGTTTCAATAATTCTTTTTTAATATTTCTTGCCATAATTTTAAATTACAAATAGAAAAATATATTTGTAATTTTTATCTATAATGTTACACACTAAAAGATAAGGTATTTAATGATGAATTTTTTATATTTATATTACAAACATATTTACAGACATATTTATCTAAAATAAAAAGAATCTATTTTTTTTATAATTCATCTATAATAGAGAAAAAAATTATTTATAAAATTTGTCTACAATTAATGTGTTTCTAACCGTGTTAATTAAAAATCATTAGTTTATTAAAACTCTTATAGAAATGGATGTGACCTGAGAATCATCCCCCTAATAAAGTGTCGTGAAGATGCAAAATTCTAGTTGATGATGCATCGGGAAAACAAATGGGCCTTTGTTCATGCTCTAGCTTCTTCTTAATCTTATGTCATGATAATACTTGGCGGGGTGAACCTTTAACAAATATTCTTTTACCTCCAACAATTGACTCTCTAGTTTCTAAATTTTGAAGTATCAGCTGTTTTCTGCTTGAAGCTTCCAACCTCCAGTTCTATTTATAGGCAAAGATTTTGTTCAGTAAAATTAACTGAAATATATTGAATAGTTTTTAAAAAAATCTAAATGTTGCATTGCTGGGCCTTAATTTGACCCTTGTTAGAAGTTATCCAATCACTTAATTTGGAAGTTGAATCACTTCACCCCGATATAGAATAAATCACTTCGTCATTTGAAAAGTCATGTGAGTAAATTATAAAATGGTTGCGTGGATTGTTTTAATTTGTTTCTTCATTCTATAATCATGACTTCTTTTAGTGTCAAGAAATATACAAAATCAGGTAGAAGATTGTTAAAATGCTAAAAAGGGTGAGAGATCATCGTATTTGAAAAACATTCTCACCCACTTACAGCTCAAACTTTGTAGTTTTATTCTTATATGGAGACTCGTTGAAAGCTATGCTCAAAATATCTTGTGCTAGCATCCAAGAAAGATATTTTCTCTTAAATATACCAAAGGTCATTGAATTTAGATTTAATAGAAATAGTTTTAAAAAATAATTTTTAAAAATTTAATTTATTTTTGAGTTATCGCGTAAACAACAATTTTGCTTAAAATAAAATCTATAAAAACAGAAACAATTCTCATTTTCTGAATTAATTTTTTAGAGTGAATTATGATCAAATCTAAATTTGAAATTTATATTTGAAAAAGATATTTTAAAATCAGACTTCAGATAATTTTATTTAAATAATAAGATATAATCACTTTAAAAACGTATTTACAAGTATGCTTTTTAGAAAGTTACAAGTTTCATCCATAAAATTAATTGAGAACTCCAAATCTAGCTCAAGGCATGGTAAGTAAGAGGCTTTTTTTTTTACCATTGTAGACTAAAAATAATAACAAACTATTAGTATAGAGTAATTGACAAATTATTTATCACAATGTACAAATTATAAATTCTCACTTTGGCAACAACACCAAGAAGTGACACATAATAGGTAAGAAGAAAATTTATTGCTAACTGAATTTATTTTAAAACTTATTTTGATTGTCATTATTTTATTTAGTCTAATTTATTTATTTAAATTTTAAAATTTATTTATTTTATTTAGCAAATGACTACTTAGTAAGAATTAACATGTGCAAGCAATAGAATAAGTGATGTTTGTCCCTTAGAAGCAACTCTTTTTACACATATAAGTGATACTTTTCTGTACAGTAGCAACCGTCAAATGGGAGTTACTCTCCTTACCCATCATATGTCACTTCTTATAATTGTTGCACACGTACAAAATGAGTTTTGCAGTTTTCACAATGTTTAACATTATGATAAATAATTTGCAAACTACCCTATAATGATAAGTTGTTATTATGTCAAAAAGTCCAAGTAAGACCAATGCCTAGGGTGCCACTTTTTTTAAGAAATATATATTGTCCTATTTTAAATAACTTTTGATACAATTTAAGGTAATATTTAATAGTTAAATATTAGAATTAATGCACATTATATTTCTAAAAAAAAATTATAACCTTTTTAGTAATAGGTACAATTAAGCTATTTCATTTACATTAAATATATCTTCACTTTTAAAAGATGACGCTATGCTTTTGCACATTAAATGAGATTTTAATAAGAAAGGGCAATTTTGGGTCCATCAGCATCTCTCAAAAGGTTAATTTTTTTATTATATATTAGAAACAAGGCACATTTAACATCAAATTCTACACTTTTGTTCTTTGTTTATTCTACCATTCTTATCTTACTACAATATTTGTTCTTCTTTGTATATTTATATTTCTTTTTTTCTTCTCACAAAATTATCATACTAACTAACCAAACCAACATACTTAGCTTTGATTGGAGATGCATCTCACAGATAGATAAGATAATTTTATATCATTTGTATTTTGTTTTCCTCAATATTTTTTTAATTTTAATATAAATAATTGAGATCGAGAGAAGATTTATTCTTTTTCATTATTTTATGCAGAGAGAGAAGTTTATATTATATTTCAGTGTCATCAACAAACGAAGAAGACAAGTTACATGGCAGCAAAGGGTTATAATATGACACGGGAGGTTGCCTTAACATTGCATGGGGATAGATATAATTTCAGTTAACGCATAAACTGAACAGAAAAAATCCTAATGACCTAATCGCAAAAGGTGTTTTGAGTTTATCACCTTTAGCTTGTAAATAACATTTCGATTAAAATCATGAATTGACAAATTATTCTGACTAATGAAAACTCAATTTCTTAAAATGTTCATTTTCTCAATTACAAAAAACATAAATTTACATTAACAGAAGTAAATATAATATTTTTTTTAGTGATTGGAAGTAGCATTTACAAAGCAGCGGTGGATGGTTATATACTTGTATTTAGACAACAGCGAGAGGCTGAGATGCAGGCATAGGTGTGAGACAGTGGCAGTTAGATCCAAAACCAAAACCAAGAGATGCTATAAGCTGCAATGCATTCTGAAGCTCCAAAGACAAGTGTTTCTGAACCAAAGACACGACATATTCCATGAAGGCTGCGTCACAGGGCAATATTATTGGACCATCAATATGGAGGCCGAACTGTTCCTCAGACATCCTCAACAACTCTCTGAATATATTGTTTCTCAGATAAGTCAATGGTACCACAAAACGTACTTTGTCAGCGGTGTACACCACAAAGTGACCTTTCTCTGCTACTTTATGCTTCATTCTTTTTCTAGGCAGCGAGATCTTTCTCCTTTTGATTCTGGCCATTCTTTGCCACTTCCTTGCCATGGCAATTATTCTTTTGAAGCTGAGCATATTGGGGACCTTTGGGGTGTGTGTGTGTGTGTGAGAGAGAGAGAGAGAGAGCTTTCAAATTTATAACAGAAGTAGCTTGGAAGAAAAAGGATGTGGTAATTGGATTTGGATGAGATACGTGTACAGGGAATAGGACGTGGGCTAGTTTTGGATTTTAGCGAGAATATACAATTGCATGATGGTGGGGGTAAGTTATCCACATATCTGCGTTTGTACAATAATTTGGGCGGTAGAGCGATTGCAATAGGAGGATGCTTCTACTGCTATAAAATTTGGTTAGAAACAAGCCGCGCTGGCACTGAGTACTTCTTGAACTGGAAGAGCAGTTCCAAAGGCATAAAAACAATATACCCTGCCTGTTCTTTGCACATGGACCAACATTTTATTTTAGTAAAGCATGAACAAAGGAACTTCATGCAAATGTGTCTTCAGAATCTAAGAACCAACTATTGGGTTAAAAGGAAACTAGAATATTGCTGTGAATCTGTAATTCAACTGTTATTATTTTTGCCCAAATTCAAAAGAACGTTTTTTACTATATTTGCAAGTGTAATTTGGGCTTTTTTCTTAATTTAAATAATGTAAATTTAAAAACAAATTCACAATTTAATATAATTTTCAAACTATTTTCTAGAGTAAATTCGGCCATGTGTCAACAGTTTTGCCAGTTGACAAAAGTTTTTAGTTTATAATTTTTTTTAAATATAATTCGTCATAGCATGAAATTACTCAAATTCTACCACATGTCAAAAATGTTAAGATTTAGCCATGACTTCGGCAAAAATTAAAGATAGTTTCGCCGTTAGAAGGCGAGACATAGTAACTCTGAACATTAAGTGTTTTGTTATAAAATTGCTAAAGTTGTGAAAAAATAAAATAAATTTAAAATGAATGACCAGAGTTGACATCATATATTTATGGTGAAAATGACTTTCACCACACTTTTGACAAAATTTGTTTAACACATTAATAAGTTTGTAATTAGGCTTTTCTTTCATAGTCTATATATTCATATTTGACTTTTATTTTATTTAAAATTTACACTAATTTATATATTAATTATGCAGATTGGTATAAAGAGACTGCAAGTGGATTTTTGGTGCATTTTATGCCCAAATTGATGGAAGATTAGAGCTTCGCATCAATCAACACGTTTTGACCCTTTCAACAAGCATGGAAGTATTTTAAGCCCATGCATGATCGTGCTTAAGGCTTTGCACGACCGTGCTCATTTGTAGGAAGTCCAATTATGAAGAGTTTGTAGGATTTGCAAACCCTATAAATGAGAGACCTCAGGATCCCGTGAGGCACCATTTTTACATCTTTTCTTTGGCTCTTTGATACACATTTTCATCTCGTCTTTTTTGCACGGGATCGTTGACATATTTTGGTAGAACTTAGAGCTTCGAGCAATCGTACTTGAAGACCGGGAACTCATCTCACACTCTAGTTTGCTATTTCTTTTGATTTTGACTTTATTTATTATTGTTTTAATTCTTTCATTTAACATGAGTAACTAAGTTCATAGGTAGGACTATGGGAACTATTATTCATGAATTTATGGAGTTTTGATGTTTGAATCTAAATTTGATTTATGTTTTGTAATTAAATTTTATCCTATTGCGCTTCCTTTTTAATCTTAATTAATTATATCGTCAGACGACCGTACCTCGATTAGTTAATGGATCTATAGGATAAAACAAGACAAAGGATTAGGTGGGACAAACCAATCTTTTTGTTCCAATCGTTATTAAATTAACAAGTTCATAGGTTCCTTAAGCTTTCTTAATTGATGTCTTGCATGACCATTGGAGATGTTGATTTAGAGAAAAAAAAATATTAATATTGCATGACCATTGGGTATTAATAGTATTTGTATGAATGATTGGTAATCACAAGGAAATCAAATTTAGAGTTAAATAAAAGAATAATATAAAGGATTGAATGAGAAAATTCATATGCCCTAAGTTCCTCTCCAATAAGTTCAACCAAGACATGCATTGTGTTCTTTATTCTAGTTTTTAGAATTGATTTTATAAACTCTTGTTTTGATTAATCTCATATCTTTGAAGCTCAAACAATTGAATTAGAAAATTCTTAGTAATTAAAAATCAATCCTTGTGAGACGATATTTTAGGAACTTAATTTAAGAACCTTTTATTACTTTTTGATAGATACACTTGCCCTTTGAACACACATGTAAGGCCAAACATAGCAACTTCACGGAGTCTTCTTCTCCTTTACCTTTTCTCCTCCTTACTTCTCCTTCTTTCTCCCACAGTTTCTCTCCTCCCTTTTTTCTTTGAAGATTATTTATTCACAGAAAATTTTGACGCTAAAATCTCTTAAATTTTAGACTTTTATTTGAGATATTAATAGTTTTATGTGTTTCTCTATATTATTTTATATTTTATTTATTATTTTAAAAATCTAAAAAATGAAAAAAATTAATTTTGTGATGTAAACTAATGCAGGTAATTACGTGATTGGTGAACAGTGAAACAATTGTGCAACAAAAGTTAGTAAATCTTTTTAGTTATTTTTTAATATTTTTACATTAGTTTATCTTTATATTTAGGAAAAATATTAATATGCTTAAATAAACATTAGGTTGTAATATAGTTGACTAAAATGTAATTTATAATTAGTTGTTAAACAAAAAATAATTCAATGATATTTTTTAGTTATTTTTTTGCATAATATTATTAATAATATATTGTATATTATATTTTTTATATTTTGTTAAATTAGAGAATAATAAAAATATGGTTGATTAAAAAATTGTATAATAATAATGAGTTATATTTAGTTTAATTGTTATAAATATTTTTTACAAACATTTATTATTTATTTAAGTATGGTATGTAAATTATAAATACTGTAATTTAGTAATAATGTTAAAATTAATTTTATTTAATTAAGATGTAATAATAATTTGCATGCAGTGCATATATATATATATATATATATATATATATATATATATTAAACATTTAAAATGTAAATAATAAAATAATTTATATGAAATTATATTTATATATAGGTAATAATAACAATAAATATTTTATATGTAACATTATTTATATGAATTTTATTAACTAAGATGTAATAAGAATTTGTTTATAAATATAAAAATTATTGAAATTAATGCATAATTGTATTAATAATTATCTTGTTATAAATTTTTTTTTTAATTCTCATGTAATAATAATTTGTATGTAAATATAAAAAATAATTTAATTTGTTGACATTTATATTAATAATTATGTTAGAAATATGAATTTTTTAATAAAGATGCAATAAAAATTTGTATAAAAATATAAACAATATTTTAGTTAAGTTGAAATTTAATTATGTTAGAAATTTGAATTATTTAAATTAAGATGTAATAATAATTTGTATAAAAATATAAAAATATTATGTTTAATTATGTTAGTAACTTGAATTTTTTTTAAATAAAATGAATTAATAATTTGAATGTAAACAATAAAAATATTATGTTTAATTATGTTAGTAATTTAAATATTTTTTATTAAGATATAATTTAAATTTGGATGTAAATATAAAAAATATTATGTTTAATTATGTTAGTAATTTAAATATTTTTTATTAAGATATAATTTAAATTTAAATGTAAATATAAAAAATATTATGTTTAATTATGTTAGTAATTTGAATTTTTTTATTAAGATATAATTTGAATTTTTATGTAACTATAAAAAAATATTGTGGTTGATTATGTTAGTAATTTGATTTATTTTAAATGTGGTCATAATTTGTATGTAAACATAAAAAAGTATTATATTTAATTATGTTATTATTTTTAATTAAGTTGAATATTGTATAAAAACTATGTTACTAATTTGAAATGTTTTAATGAAGATGTAATAATAATTTGCATATAATTATAAAAACTATTTTTTTAATTTTTGATATTTATATAATTAATTTAATTATAAATTTAAATTTGTGTCACTATGATGTAATAATAATTTGTTTGTAAAAATATAAACTATTATAATTAAGTTGGTATTTGTATTATTAATTATGTAGAAATATAATTTTTTAATTAAATATGTAATAAATATTTGTATGTAAATATGTAAAATATTTAAATGAAGTTGAAATTTTTATTAAAAATTATGTTAGAAATTTTAAATTTTTTAATTAAGATGTAATAATAATTTGTATGTAAATATAAAATATATATTAATTAAGTTGACATTTGTATATTTAATTATGTTAAAAATTTAATTGTTTTAATTAAGAATGTGCTAATAATAATTTGTATATATAGTATGTATATATAAATTTTTGCAAGTAAATTTAATATAAAATTAAATTTCTCTAAATCATTTTTTTATATAGATGAAATTATTTTCACAACAAAGTAGGGTTATTAATCACATCACTCCTTCAGTTTTAAAGTATTCATGTCTCTAAACATACTTGGGATGGACGTGATTACTCGATATTGAAGGTGAGGAAGAGTCAATTTATTCCATGTGACTTGAAAGGTGTTCCTTATGAGATTGTTCCGCATCTGGATCCATTGACATTGACCAGAAGTTGCAGTGGAATAGCCTTTTGGTGCAATGATCTTCGATGTTACAGCAGAATAGCCTTATGGTGCAATGATCTTCCTCAGTCAAAATCACCAGATTCCTTAATAGCACTTGATATCTCTCTTGTGATAGAGAGACAGAGAGATGTTTCTTATTTTGGTGTATTGGGAACTATGACCAACTTTATGATTTTAAATGGGGTTTCAATCAACCCCTAACGGGCCAAATCTAGTCTCTACTTATAAAGCCTATATTCCTTTATTCATATTAATTATTTTTAATTAGTAGTTTAAAGGCTCACCAAAATTAGATCACTTTTATTGAGCCTAACAAAATGTAAATAGCTAATATAAATGTTATAAATAATATGTATTGCCCATATTAACTATTAGAAATAAAATTTCTAAC